GAGAAAGGAGAAAGGAAGGAAAGGAGAGGGGAGGGGAGGGGAAGGGAGGGGAGGGGAGGGGAGGGGAGAGGAAGGAAAGAAAAGAAAAGAAAAGAAAAGAAAAGAAAAGAAAAGAAAAGAAAAGAAAAGAAAAGAAAGAGGAACAAGAAGCCAAAACTGGTTTGACTCAGTGGATAGAGTGTCAGCCTGCGGACTGAAAGGTCTCGGGTTCTATTTCGGTCAAGGACATGTACCTTGGTTGCGGGCACGTCCCCAGTGCTGGGCATGCAGGAGGCAGCTGATCAATGATTCTCTCTCATCATATGTTTCCATCTCTCTCTCTCCCTCTCCCTTCCTCTCTAACATCAATAAAGATACTAATATATAAAGAGGAAGAAGCCGAAACCGGTTTGGCTTAGTGGTAGAGCGTCGGTCTGTGGACTGAAGGGTTCCGGGTTCAATTTCAGTCAAGGGCATGTACCTTGGTTGCAGGCACATCCCCAGTAGGGGGCGTGCAAGAGGCAGCTGATCAATGATCCTCTCTCATCGATGTTTCTGACTATCCCTCTCTCTTCCTCTCTGTAAAAAATCAATAAAATATATTAATAAAAAAAAGAAGAGGAAGAAGAAAAAGTTAAAGATTAAAATTATGAACAACAAATACATATCTATCAACAAGTGAATATAAAAACCAAGCATATAAAAAAAATCAGCCGAAACCGGTTTGGCTCAATGGATAGAGCGTCGGCTTGGGGACTGAGAGGTCCCGGGTTCGATTCCGGTCAAGGGCATGTACCTTGGTTGCGGGCATATCCCCAGTAAGGGGTGTGCAAGAGGCAGCTGATCGATGACTCTCTCTCATCGATGTTTCTAACTCTCTATCTCTCTCCCTTCCTCTCTGTACAAAATCAATAAAATATATTATAAAAAAAAAAAAATCTGATGGCCGAAACCGGTTTGGCTCAGTGGATAGAGCGTTGGCCTGCAGACTGAAAGGTCCCGGGTTCGATTCCGGTCAAGGGCATGTACCTTGGTTGCAGGCATATCCCCAGTAGGGGGTGTGCAAGAGGCAGCTGATCGATGATTCTCTCTCATCGATGTTTCTAACTCTCTTTCCCTCTCTCGTCCTCTCTGTGAAAAATCAATAAAATATATTTTTACAAAAATTAAAATAAAATAAAAAATCTGATGAACAGAATCAACTGGTGAATATAGTAGAATCAGGGGCATAGAAAGGAGTGGACTGACTATCTTCCGGGGGAAAGGGGTGTGAGGGGTGCGGGAAGAGACTGGACAAAAATCATATACCTATGGATGAGACAGTGGGGAATATAAGGGCATGGGTTGGGGTGGGAACCAAGTGGAATGGAACTATGGGGGCGGGGGGGGGGACGGGACGAGGGACAACTGTAATAATCTGAAAAATAAAGACTTAATTTCTCTAGAAAGCCGTGGTACATTTATACCATGGAATACTATGCAGCTGTAAAAAAGAGTGTCTTTCCCTTTGAGACAGCATGAAGGGGCTTGGAGAGTATCCTGTTAAGTGAAATAAGTCAGTCAGAAAAAAACAAGTATCATTTGATCTCACTCATGTGGAATCTAATTAACAAAAAAAACTGATTAATGGAGAGGATCTAGAGACATAGAAGCATGGAACAAGATTGTGGAATCTTCAAAGGAAGGTAAGGATGGGTTGGTGGGTGGGAAGTAATCAACCAAAGACCTTGTATGAATATGCTAACTAGTGTACATAACCCATGGACACAGACAATAGGGTAGTGAAGGCATGGGGGCAGGCTGGAGAGAATTAATGGGGGTGGGAGGCGTGCACGCATATGTAATACTTTCAACAATAAAAATATATTTTTTTAAAGAATCCAGTTTTTTAAAATAGGTTTGAGAAGTTCTTGTCAGTTATTTGTTTAAATAGGCTCTCTTCCCTCCCTTTCTTCTTCTTCAGATATACCCATTATTATTTTTTAATCTGTTTTTATTAAGTTTTAGAGAGAAAGGGAGGGGGAGAATACTTTGGATCAAGCCCGCAACCCTGACATATGCTCTGACCCAGAAAGGAACCGGTGACTTCTTGGTTTGATGTTGGACATTGAGCCATACTGACCAGGCTGTCTATTATTCTCATATCACTCTTTCTGATGGAGTCAGATAGTTCTTTCTTTCTTTATCTTTTTTTTTTTTAACTCTTTAACACCCACTTTTCATCTGAGTCACTTCTAGAGTTATATTTTAAATGTCACTAATTATTTTCTCCATTTGGTCTGCTCTGTTTCTGTTTCTTTTCTTTTTTTAAAATATATTTTTATTTCAGAGAGGAAGGGGGGGATGGGAACATTAATGATGAGAAAGAATCATTGATCAGCTGCCTCCTGCAAGCCACCACCGGGGATTGAGCCCACAACCCAGGCATGTGCCCTTGGTGGGAATTGAACCAGGGACTCTTGAGCCAAATTGGCTAGGGCTGCTCTGTTTCTGAAGCCTTCCTAGTTCATTCTTCATCTCTTTTATTGAGCTCTTTCAGCTCTAGAATTTTTATTTATTTATTTTTATTTTTTTTGGAAATAAAGTACTCATTCTGTTTGTTGATTTTATTTCTGAGTTCATTAAAAGGTCTTTCTGAATTTTCTTGTATCACATGGAGTTTTTTCATAAACTTCAGTCTCAAATTGTCATTTAAATTACATTTCATGTCTTTAAGCCTATTTTTCTGGAGATTACTCATGGTATCTGATGAATTATGTCTCTGCTTTTATGGGAATGAAACTGCTTTTTTTTAAAATGTATTTGACAACTACTATTTTAAGAGATGGGTAAGTAAGTTTCTTTTGTTTTTTAGTAGAGGGTGCAAGTTTTTATTTTTCTCTTGCTTGCACTGCTGGGGCTTCCTGGATCTTTTAGGATGGTGTTTCCTCCACTGTGGAAAATTCCCTTTATTCCTGGGGTGGTGGGCATCCCCTCTGTCACCTCAGTCTCAGGTCTCTACCCTGGTGAGGAAATGTGGTGGGTGATGGGACCTCTGAGATCCCAGTGCTGCCTACAACAGATGCTGCCAGTAATGCTGTACTATCTGAGGTGTCCCAGCTGCCTCCACTGGGCTCCACTGCTATGGATGGGGGCAGGTTGGGCTTATTCTTGCATTTGTGGCCTTGTACTCCTTCCAATAATGGTGGCTGCCGAACTTCAGTTGGCACACCTCTATGTCTTGGCCCCTGTTCATGCGTTGAGCAGCATTATGCATCTGCTGCTCAGGGAGAAATATTTCTTCTCTCTGGTCCTCAGGGCTGTCAAGAGTGTGTGCTGTAATCTGACACTGAGCAGTTTCAAGGTCTGTTGGGGCTACTTACTTCTCTGGGAGATGAAGGCAGGCAGTTACTTGTCTGGGACGTGGTTTTCTGCATGGTAATGACGGCTGCTAGACCATAGCTGCAATGCCTTTATGTTCCTCTCTATTTCTGCCACTGGGTTCAGCTGCAGAATGTGCTGACTACTCAGGCAGGAATGTCCATTAGGCCTGCCTTATTTAATAATGCATTGACTATGGCATTGTTACATTTTAAAATCATTGTATATATTTCATTATTGAGATGCACCTTAATGTATTCCTTTTACTGCCTACTAAAGATTATTTATACTTATATATTTTAATTGTGAAATAGCCCCAAAAATATTCCTATGATTGCAACCTCTTGTGTTTTTATAATGAACTAGTAGCCCTGCGCTCCAATCTGTGTGCCAGTAGCTCTCTGCTGCCCTCCTGTGTCTCTCCATCCGCTGCCCCGCCCCCCTTTAGCTCCCCCAACCCCTTCCCATAGCTAGCTTCCCTGCCCCCTCCTGTTGCTCTCCACCACCCTCTTGTAGCTCGCTGCCCCATCCTCCTGTTGATCCATGATCCCATCGTTACACGGTCGGTCATATGCTTCATGGCGTAACGACCATTTGCATATTACATCTTTATTATATAGGATTTCATGGGGTTAGGCATTAAATATTAAGAATTTGCAAATATGCAGAATCTACTAGAATTCAAGGAGAAAAAAATACTTTTAAAAAGTTACAGTCACTTTTAAAATTGCAAATTATTTTATAAGGGAGATATACAAAAGAGATTTATATAAACTTGCATACAAATATCCAAAGTAAAGGTTGATAAACAGCACTAGTTTAGCCTGGTAATATGCTGTGAGATTTAATAAGAGGGAGATATTTGTATAACCAGAGTAGCTATTTTCATGTCATATTATATCTAAGTTGACTAACCCCATAAGAATTTTGTGGAGATACATCCATTTTCTTGAATTGCCTATATTCCCTGCAGTTTTCATTCGCATTAAAAATCCAAAGTATGACCAGTGGATGGAGCATGATGATTCTGTAGCTGTTTGGAGAACACTGCAGGACATAAGAAACATAATAAACCCATCTGTCAGGAAGGGCTGAAAAGAAGCATCATTTATACAGAGGACATATCCATGTGACTTTTAGTCCTTTTCCAGGTAAGACTTTGGTACACATGAATATATTATAGTTACCAAATCAAGAAGTTTTCAACTATTGGAAACTGACTAAGCAAAAATACAACTGTGTGTGTGGTGTTTTTTTGTGGGATTTTTTGGGGTTTTTTTTTTAGAATAGTATCCTGAGCTATTGTTTGTTTAAGAAGGTTGTTAAAAAAAAAAAAAGTAAATATTTTCTTGTTCCTCTGCTATTTGGGAATAAGCCTACATTTACAGAATTTAAAAATACACTTTTAGCTCTGGCTGGTATGGCTCAGAGACTCATGTATCAGTAGGTTACTGGTTTGATTCCTAGTCAGAGCAAATGCCCGGATTATGGGCTCAATCCCCGGTAAGGGCTGATCCATATTCCCCTCCCTCTCTCTCTCTCTCTCTCTCTCTCCCTCTCTCTCTCTCTCTCTCTCTCTCTCCTTCTCTCTCTAAAATCAATAAAAACATTTTTTTTAAATTTTAATAAGAAAGTACACATTTAAAATTATACATTGTTCACAGCAAAGGGTTTGGTTTTGTATGTTTCTCCTCTCCAGAAGAAGCCACTAAAGCAGTTACAGAAATGAATGGTAGAATTGTGGCTACCAAACCACTGTACGTGGCTTTAGCTCAGCGCAAAGAAGAGCGCCAAGCTCACCTCACGAACCAGTACATGCAGAGAATGGCAAGTGTGAGAGCTGTGCCCAACCCCGTAATCAACCCCTACCAGCCAGCACTTCCTTCAGGTTACTTCATGGCAGCTATCCCGCAGACTCAGAACCGTGCTGCATACTGTCCTCTTAGCCAAATTGCTCAACTAAGACCTACTCCTCACTGGACTACTCAGGGTGCCAGACCTCATCCATTCCAAAATATGCCCGGTGCTATCCGCCCAGCTGCTCCTAGACCACCATTTAGTACTATGAGACCAGCTTCTTCACAGGTTCCACAAGTCATGTCCACACAGCGTGTTGCTAACACGTCAAGTCAGACAATGGGTCCTCATCCTGCAGCGGCTGCTGCTGCAGCTAATCCTGCTGTCCGCATCATTCCATAGTATAAATATGCTGCAGGAGTTCGCAATCCTCAACAACATCTTAATGCACAGTCACAAGTCACCATGCAGCAGCCTGGTGTTCATGTACTAGGTCAGGAGCCTTTGACTGCTTCCATGTTGGCATCTGCCCCTCCTCAGGAGCAACAGCAAATGTTAGATGAACGGCTGTTTCCTCTCATTCAAGCCATGCACCCTACTCTTGCTGGTAAAATCACTGGCATGCTGTTGGAGATCGATAATTCAGAACTTCTTCATATGCTTGAGTCTCCAGAATCTCTTCGTTCTAAAGTTGAAGTTGTAGCTGTACTGCAAGCCAACCAAGATAAAGAGGCTACCCAGAAAGCAGTTAACAGTGCCACTGGAGTTCCAACTGTTTAAAATTGATCAGGGACCACGAAAAGAAACTCGTGCTTCACCGAAGAAAAATATCTAAACATCGAAAAACAATATTATAGAAAAAAAAAAACATTGCAAAAATATAAAATAAATAAAAAAAGGAAAGGAAACTTTGGACCTTATGTACCGTGCAAATGTCATGTCTAGCAAAAATATTGCTAGTCCTAGATTACTTATTGATTTAAAAACAAAACAAAAAACAAAAAAACATCAAAAATCGTAAAATATAAAAACAAATTAATGTTTTATAGACCCTGGGAAAAAGAATTTTCAGCAAAGTACAAAAGTTTAAAGCATTCCTTTCTTTAATTTTGTAATTCTTTACTGTGGAATAACTCAGAATGTCACTTCTGTTTTAAATAACAGAATTGATAACTGAGCAAGGAAACATAATTTGGATTATAAAATTCTTTGCTTTAATAAAAATTCCTTAAACAGTAAGTAAATAAATAAATAATTAATTATACATTGTTATTGAAAAAATATGCTCTTAAGTAAATTGAAGATCATAAAACTTCCCAGACATGTCTGGCCAGTGTCGCTCAGTGATCAAGCATTGGCCTGGTTAGGGCACATGCCCAGTTTCCAGGCTCAATTCCCAGTAGTGGGCATGTGGGAGGCAGCAGATCAATGTTTTCTCTCTCCCTCTCTCTCTCTCTCTCTCTCTCTCTCTCTCTCTCTCTCTCTGTCTCTGTCTCTTTCTCTCTCTTTCTTTTTTCCCCCAACTCCTTCCTCACTCTAAAATCAATAAACCTATTCTTGGTTGAGGATTTAAGAAAAAAGAAAGAAAATACAGAAAAAAAACACACAAAGATGCCCCATAATTATACACTTATAGACAAAAGTTGTGAAAATTTGATTGAAAAGCCTTTCAGTTCATCTTTAATGCATACACATATGTGTATATAGTATATATACATATGTATATTTTTTCTCTTTAAAAAAATATATTTTATTTAATTTTTACAGAGAGGAAGGAAGAGGGATAGAGAGTTAAAACATTGATGAGAGGGAAACATCGATCAGCTGCCTCTTACACATACTGGGGATGTGACCAAACCAAGGCACATGCCCCTGATCAGAATCAAACCTGGGACCCTTCAGTCCATAGGCCGACACTCTATCCACCGAGCCAAGCTGGCCAGAGCATGAAACACAGAGTTTTATTACCTACCTTATTCACCCGTCATTGTTTAACATTTTAGCATGAGCAAAGATATGTATCATTGGGAAAAGGAGAGAGAAAACATCAATGGGAGAAAGAACATCTATTGGTTGCCTTTTGTACACACCCTGACTGGGGATTGAACCCGTGCCCTGATCAGAAATCGAACTCACAACCTTTAGGTATATGCTCCAACCAATTGAGCCACACTGGCCAAGACTAATGAGTCTTTTTTTTTGTAGGACATGAAAGCTCTCTCCGGATTGTTTCCATTTTTAACAGGATCTTCATCATACATCTTTAGATAGTCTCATATATGAAATTGCTTCATCAAAGCACATTGGTGGTTTAATTTCTGCTGACATTGCTTTGTTAGAAGTATATATTAGCTGTAGCCTGTGTGTCCATTTTTTTTTTATGTTATGCTATTGTGGAGTCTCATCAGTTTCTTATTTTATTATTTTTATTAGTTTTTTTCATCACCATTTATCCACTCTATGCCCTCTTCCACCTCTACCCACTCCCCCTCAGCAATCTTTTAAATTTCTGCCAAATTGATAACTATAAAAAGACATTTTCTTGTTACTGTATGCACTCCCTTCATTACTAAAGTTTAAAAACTTTTGATAGGTGGTGCCATTTTATTATTTAGTGAATTGCCCATGCATAACCTTTGCTCATTTGCCTAAAATCACTGCTTTTTTTCTGAACATTTAATTTTAAAAGTATGAAGGGTTTTTATTGTTTTTCATTTGCCTTTTCATTTTGATTTTAGTACTTGGGGGTAGAACTTTTTAATCTTTCAAGAATATGTCGGGGGGGGGGGTGTCTGCCTTTATGTCATGGGTTCATAAAACCTATACATAGAGGTAATATGCTAATTTGTCCGTGATGATGTCCCCAGTAACTACCTATTTGCATATTGGTGCGCATGCAGCAGGGGGCGGGGTCTGAGGAGTCTGCCTGACAGGAGCCCAGACTGCAAAGAAGGAAGAGGAAGCGGCCACAGGGAGCTCTTCCAAACCCCCTCCACGGACACCTTACCCCAGCCCCCACACTCCCGGGGAGGGGGGGGGAAGGGACAGACAAATACCCTATCCCAGCCCCCGCACCCACAGGGGCACGGGGAGGCTGATCGGAAGGGCAGAAGACCCAGCCTGGGGGGGGGGGGGGGGGTGTGTGGACACGGCTGCAGCCCTCACCTCCAACTCCCAGTTTCTTCCCCCGCACCTCTGCTTGGGGTTCCCACGGCAATAGCACACTAGTGACCACCCATCAGCGCCCCCAGGCCTGCAGCCCGCCACTGCTGGGCACTCCTCTCCTCCCTACAATTCCAGACCTGGGTGGAGGCAGGCCTGAGCGGCCCCCCAGGGTCAAACCCTTCCCCCTGACAGCAGCAGTGCCAGCTCCACAGCTGAAGCGCAGCTAAACCCGCCCATCTGGCCCTGCCCTGGCCCGGCCCCCACTCCGCTCCAGGAGCCTGGAGCCCCGCCCTGAGCACGCACAGCTGCAGTACAGCACAATTTAAAGAACGCAGAGCGGGAGGTTTGACAGTTACTCCCCCTCGGGCCTCGCCGCCCCACTAGCGACCCCCACCCCCAGCGCCTCCAGGGAGGACGGTCGCTACAGACCCCGCCCCTCCGAGGCCTGCAGAACTCTGCAAAGCTTCCATAGCTACAGTCTCGGGGAAAAATCACGCCCTCCTCCCCTAATCAGCACCTGCTACCTGCGAGGGTACCTGTGAGCTTAAAAATAACAATCCCTTCCCGTTTAGACATCACTTACTTGATGAAACATTTCTAAGTTTATTATCTGGTCTAGTAATAATTAATGTCGTTTTTAAACATTCGTTTAAAATCTTGCTTGGCGTTGACTTGTATTGACATAACCTTCAAACACGTGGTATCTACAGAACTTGTGAAGTGCAATTAACAAGTTTTGCTTGAAAAAGTTTGTGTTTGGTTTGGTTTTTGTTGCAAAACTAGGGCTAAGAAGATGGCGGATGAAGAGCATATTCGGCACTGCATGCTTTACGAGTTCCAATTAGGAAGAAAAGCAAGTGAGGCTGCAAAAAACATCTGTAGTGCTCTTGGTCAAGATGCAGTTAGCGCCAGAAAATGCCAGCGTTGGTTTGAGAAATTTCGCGAGGGAAATTTTTCGTTAGATGACAAGAGTGGTCGAGGCCGTGTGTCCAATTTTGATCAAGAAGCTCTTCAAGCTCTTTTGGTGCAAAATCCTCAAATTACCCAACAAGAGCTTGCGACAACTTTAAATTGTTCACAAAAAACAATTTCCAATCAATTGCGTGCACTTGGCAAAGTCCAAAAGTTTGGAAAATGGGTTCCTCATGAGTTGACCGACAACAACCGTAATCAAAGAGTCACAATTTGCAGTTCGCTCCTCTCTCGTCAAAACCGTTTGTCGTTTTTAGAGCAAATTGTTACCGGAGATGAACAATGGGTGCTGTATGTTAATTTGAAAAGGCGGCCTCAATGGTTGGACAAAAATGAGGCTCCGCAGCCCACGCCAAAACCTGACTTGCATGCGAAAAAAGTGATGTTGTGTGTTTGGTGGAATTTTAAAGGAATTCTTCATTATGAACTTTTACCATCTACCCAAACCATTACAAGTGCAGTGTATAGTGCCCAATTGGAAAGGTTAGCCCAAGCTTTAAGAGAAAAAGAACCCGCGCTGATTAATCGGAAGGGCATAATTCTTCACCACGATAACGTACGACCGCATACTGCAAGAATCACTGCTGAAAAACTGCGCCACTTGGAATGGGAAGTTCTCCCTCAACCTGCATATTCTCCTGATATTGCCCCTTCCAATTACCATTTGTTTCGTTCTTTGCAAAACTTTCTTCTTGGAAAAAAAATTTAATAATGAAGAATGCCTCAAAAATGCATTGACCGAATTTTTTGCATCAAAATCACAAGAATTTTACAACAGAGGGATTAAAATGCTTCCTGAGCATTGGGCACAAGTAGTAGAAAACAACGGCAACTATATTGTTGATTAAATTTTGTTGTATTGTTTAAATAAATTCGATTTTAAAAATATTAGAAAACGACATTAATTATTACTAGACCTAATAGCTGAAACCTCCTCATGACAACCCAGTGAGGTAGGCGGGGGAGAGCTTATAATTCCCACAGTATATGCGTATGTATTCAGAAAGAAGCTCAGAGAGCAAAAGTGTCAAGCCCAGTGGTTTCCAAGGTGCAGCACATGCCCCATAGGGGGGCAATTCGAGAATGAGTTAACAGTGAATTTTTGCATTATGGTTCTAGGGGGCCTCATATACAGTGTATCCTACATAATAAAAGGCTAATATGCAAATGACCAAATGGTGGCATGACCAGTCACTATGATGCACGCTGACCACCAGGGGACAGACACTCAACACAGGAGCTGCCCCCTGGTGGTCAGTGTGCTCCCATAGGGGGAGCTCCACTCTGCGAGAAGCAGGGCTCACAGCTGGCGAGCACAGCAGTAGTAGTGGGAACCTCTCCCGCCTGCGTGGCAATACTAGGGATGTCCGACTGACTGGTTAGGCCTACTAAGTGGTCAGTCAGACATCTCCCCAGGGCTCCGGGACTGTGAGAAGGCACAGGCCAGGCTGAGGGACACTCCCTCCCCCCCAAGTGCATGAATATTATATTATAATATTCATGTATATTATATTTATCTTAAATATTTTTTTTTTATTTTTTAAAATATATTTTATTGATTTTTTACAGTAAGGAAGAGAGAGGAATAGAGAGTTAGAAACATCGATGAGAGAGAATCATCGATCATCTGCCTCCTGCACACCCCCTACTGGGGATGTGCCCGCAACCAAGGTACATGCCCTTGATCGGAATTGAACCTGGGACCTTTCAGTCTGCAGGCCAATGCTCTATCCACTGAGCCAAACCGATTTCGGCTATCTTAAATATTTTTAAAGTATTTAATTTTGTA